CAGGCCCCAGGACCGAGCCCTGGGGGACTCCGCTACCCACCTCCCCCCAGGTCGAGTATGACCCATCCACCACCACCCTCTGAGTGCGACCCCTCAGCCAATCTGCAATCCATCTGACTGTGTAGGCATCTATGCCACAGTCACCTAGTTTTTTAACTAGGATGGGGTGAGAGACGGTGTCAAAGGCCTTGCTGAAGTCCAGAAAGACTACATCCACCGTGACACCTGCATCCATGGCCTTTGTGACCTGATCGTAGAAGGCAATCAGGTTGGTCTGACATGATCTCCCCCTAATAAATCCATGCTTTTGTTGTTCCTCTCTCTCTCTCTCTGTTTTTTTTTGCAAAATATATATGTGTATATGTCGTGCGCGCGCGCACACACACATACACACACACACACACATATATAATTCCAGCTCCAGTGCTCTGCCAAGTGGGCCCTGTGGTTCACTTTGCAGATCAAAGCACACTAAAAACCCATTACACAGTTCGTACTGCATATCCTCATGCCTGTGCACCGCTCTCCCACCCATACCCCTACCCACTGCCCTCCCTTGAGGGCCTGCCCCTGAAAAAAGTCTACACTAGACCCCTCACAGGGCTCCTGTGTCTGAAATGAAGCAGCAGACCTCTACCTCGCCTCAGACTAGGGTCACCTTTGGGAACAGGAAGGGTGTAAGGAAAAAAGAAAGGCCATTAAGTTATGTCTGTTTTGCTCTGACAACTTCTCCTGTCCTCAGATTGCTCCTCAGTCCTCCTCATTGTGTTAGCTTTGGAAACAGAGTTTCCTAATGACATAGTATAATTTTTGAAGAATTGTGGAAACAGCCTCCCAGCCCTGTGCCAGCTTCAGCTGTAACTTCAGCTGTCCAAAAGCAAAGTATCCATCCAAATTACCATCACCTCTGGCCTTAAACCTACTCTTTCAATCTCTTTAATCTGCTTTCTCAGGGCTCCAGCCCACATTATTTATAGTCCACTCTTATTTACCAAGTCCTCCAGGTAATAAACTAATAGGATTCAAGCCTCAAAATACTTCCCAGGGAACACACACATCTCACATCCCCAGCGAAGCACTATTGGCAAGGCACTAGGGGAGGGACTAGCAGGGAAGCATAAGAAGCCTCGGAACAGAGAGGAAGCCTCAGAATAACCTGACAAGAGAAGGGCCAGCAGAAGAGGTGAGATCTGAACACTCCCCTCACAGGTAAGACCTCTCTCTGCTGGAAGATCATTTTCTTTGAAAAAACTGGGAGACGGAGGGGCCAGTTCTGTCCCATCTGGGAGAAAGCCATTTGCACTGAATGGTTGGCTTGTGAGCTCTCTAGACGAGAATGGGGTGATCTTTTGGGTCTTATAAAGCACTGAGAAGGAGTATTATTAATAATGAGTAGGTGCCAGGTGGGTGGGCTGCACTGTTATATCCTCAGAGAGCAAAGGGGGAGTTGCCAGCCTGAACCTCTGAAGTCCTTCATAGACACTGGCTGCTAGATGGCAGAGAAACCAGAGAGCACAAGTGCCAATATGCTAGAGCAGGGGACACCCCCAACCTAAACAAGCCATGAGGTATTATCAGACTCTGGGGGGAAACCCTGCTCTTCTCAGAGTTGGGAGAAATAATGGAGAGACTTCACTCATTTCATCTCTAAGCTTCTTTCTTCATTCTTTCCTCTAACTCTCACTACACGCTCAGCCAACGGGCTGTCAGAGTTGTGCCTCGTCTCCATCTGGGGAATGGACAAGATAACCTCCTCTTCTTCCTGTCCCTCTGCCCCAAGGATGACAAGCCTGCTAGGGCTGTGTGAAACAGCATCCTTCTGCTTCGACACTGGCACAGTGTTTTGTTTTGAGTTTCATTTTGTTTCGAAAGCACTGTTCTGTTTCGTTTCGTCAAAACTCTTTTGCTGTTTCGATGCCGTTTTGACATTTCGCCTATAGGCTATTTCGCAGCCAGTGCCAGGAAGACTGGTGCTGCCGCTGGCCCCAGCTGGCAGCATCAGCCTCCTGTCATCTGGCAGGCGGATAAAGTGCTCGCCCACACCCCTGGGAGGGCTGTGTGGACTGTGTCGAACTGTTCCCAGGGGTGTGGGCCCCGATCTGCCTCCCGGATCATGGGAGGCTGGCGCTACTGCCTGGGGCCAGCAGCAGGCAGGCCTGGAGCAAATCAGTTCTTGTGGGGACCTGCCCCTGCCCCAGGATCGGGGTGGAGGTGGGTCCCCACACGAGCTGATTTGCCCCGAGGCCGGCACCTTGCTCAGGTTGGCTCTGGTGCGGAGCCTGGGGAAAATCAGTTCGTGTGGGGACCTGCCCCTGCCCTGATCCTGAGGTGGCAGTGGGTTTCCGCGTGAGCTGATTTGCCCCGGGCCCGGCACCGTCCTCGGGTTGGCTCTCGTGTGGAGCCCAGGGTAAATAGCTCCCAGTGGCTCGCAGCCCCATGGAACTGAGACCAGTGAAGGGAACTGGAGAGCAGCGCCAGGGCTGCACTTCGCCTCCCCTGACCAGGCTCAGGTCCCAGCCCCGTGGAACTCAGCCCGATGGTGGGAGACAGAGCGCAGCCCTGGCTCTGCCCGCCGCCCGCCACCGGCTGGGCTCCATGGGGCTGGCGGAGCCGATCGGAGCACAGCCTGGCCGCAGGAGGTGGGCAGAGCTGGTGCTGTGCTCCGATCAGCTCTGCCAGCCCCACAAAGTGCAGCCTGGTGGTGGGAGGTGGGCAGAGCCAGGGCTGTGCTCCCTGCTGGGCTGAGTCACGTGGGGCTGTGGAGCCCTCGGAGTGCAGCCCTGGCTCTTCCCTGCCTCCCACCACCAGGCTGTTTCAAAATTCAAAACGTTTCAAAACTTTCAAAACATTTTGACTGGCCTCATTTTGTTTTAAGGCTGTATTAAAGCCCTTCATTTTGTTTCAATTTCACTGTTTCAAGCTCAAAACGAGTCAAAACAGAATTGAAACAAAACAGCTGGCAAAGCTTCACACAGCCATAATGCCTACCACCATCCTTGTAGTCCAAGAAACCTGCCCTCTTTTCCCAGATGTCTGTGTTTCAAAACCAAGGAGCTATTCCATAGGGCCTTCAAGGCACAGCCTGTTGCTGAAATTAAGCACCTGCCTCCCTAGGGGGTAAGCGGTTTCCCTCCCCTTCAGTGTTGGTTTATTTTGCTTTTGGTTTCAGTATGGTTGCATAAAAGGACTCTCTGCCTACATGCACCCAGCTTAGCCACTCTGCCTGGACTCGTATCTCACTAGTGTAAGCCCCACTAAAATCACAGTACCAGGGCTATGTAAGTTTAAGAAGCTGAGCTCCTCCTGTCTAAGCTCCCTGCAAATCAGCCGATTACAAGTGAGGTCTTTACAGTTTAATTCTCCATGCTGAGTTTAAACGGATAAAACTCATGCAGGTACTTGAGAGATCACCATGGACTGTCCCAGCCCCAAGCAGGAGGTTTTTGGCTGATCTAGGCAAAGCCAGAATGTGCTTCTTGTGGGCCCTAAATTGCAGTACTGTTTTTTTCTGAAGTTGTCTCTCATGATTAATAATCACTTAGGATGTGTATGCTGAGAGCTTATCTGCCATCAAACTGTTCCTTGGTAAAGATGGAGGATCCAGAACTGGGTTCCTATAGCCCCTGGAATTAAGCTGTGGGGATGGATGGATGGTGAGAGAGTGGTGGAAGGATAAGGGATTAATTATGAAAGAGTTCAAAGCAAAGTCTGGGAGAAATTATTTCCCATAAACACCAGGATAAAGTGCATCTCACCTGCTCTATTTCTGTGCTGTTAGAGAGAAACAATGAATGTGACTTAGGCCTTAAATAGCACCTTTCTTTCAGAGATTTCACAGTATTTTACAAAGAGGCACAAGCTTATTATTCCCCTGGGAAACCAGCTGCAGAGAGGTTAAGGAGAACAATTGCAGAAGTGGCTTAATTCTAGATTCTTTATTCCTTGGTTTTTCAGACCGAAATAAGCCAGGGTTTGATTTCTACTGGTGCAGACCATCTGTACCTTCCGTTGACTCCAATGAGAGTTACTAGTATCCTGTCAGAAAAGAACAGGGCCTCTGGAAGGGTCTATCTGTTGAAGCCCATTTTTGGTTTTTGCTTAAAGACTCCTATTTGTAAGGTCGTTTGGAATTACTAACTTCCATACGCATTGGCCTTGCCCTCTTTCAACTTTTGCTTCCAGCTCCCCTTCAAAGGCTGGTGACAGTACAGTATCAGCAGTTTCATCCTAAAACATTCTCTTGACAGCAGATTGCTTGCAAATGAGACATGCATACAACTGTAGCTCCTCAAACAGTTTAATTCTTTGTCACGCTTTCCCAGCCCTGTGGTCACCAGGAGGTTGTAGGCAGTTCTCCTTTTTCTCTTGTAACATTTTCTCTGCTTCTTGTATCACTTTCACGTTTCCTCTGTATTTTACTTACAACCTTCCAACACAGTGAGTAGGAGTTTGGGGGTTGGTCAGTTTCCAACTCGGGTTATGTATATGTTCTAGAATCACAGTCTCACATCAGTGATGCATGAACCTCTACAGGTCTGAACCTCTCCAGATCAAAGGGAACTGAGACCAAACCTGAGCTAGAAACACCACTCATAGCCTGATCCTCTGCTCTGAGAAACAGAAGAGGCTCAATGCAGGGATAGCCTGAGATTCTTTGTGGTGAAACTGTGATTAATCATAACATCTTGATCAAATACTGGACCTCACTCTGCTGACTGGGTGTCTCTAGGTTTCTAACCCTACTGTTTTCTTCTACAGAATCCCTGCAGTGTGACAACTGATCTGAAATGGCAGACAGATCCAAGTAAGAGCATTTCTTTTCTTCTCCTGTGACACGGGAAGGCAGCGTGGGTCCTGTAGTGAGTGGATGGGATGGAGTGTATATTGCTGCTTTTTCTCACTCCAGCTTGGTGCGATCTCCATTTTGCGCAAGACATTTGGTATGAAATCTCACCACTTTGGACTTAGTCTGCAGCATTTTGGCAAATCCAGATTGGCTTCTTAGGTACTTTTAGTTTACACTTCAGCAGACCTAAAAGTCATCTGCCTGGCCCCAAAAGCTTGATTCAGTGAAAAAGATACGGTACCCTGGCCTCCCTGTGCCTTTGAAGGACCACTCAGAAAGCCTGGACCATTATCAGGGGGCTTTTGAGAACTTGCCAATAGGAAACACAAAGCACAGGGTTGCATCTGAACTCTCAGCCTCTCCAGAGCTGAGGCACCTGACCCAGGGCTACACACATTAAACAATTCCTTCGCTGCAAGATCCAGAGTCCTCTTGTGAGGCAGGTACTTAAATGAGTGCAACAGTGGTCCCACTGTCTACTTTTGACATAATAGCTTAGTGATCAGGACACTTGACAGTACCTGTGACACCTGGGTTTAAACTTTAAGCCCTCCTCAGCCTGAAGGGATTCAAACTCACATCTCCCACTTCCCAGGAGACCACCCTCCACCTTCCTGTTGAAGCTGTGCCACTCTGCATCCGAGAAGGCAATGGTCTTCAGGCCAGGAGAGCAAGCAAGAGGGAGTCTGGCTCTGGATTCTGGTGGGTAGGGCACTCAGCTGGGAGAGGGCATCCCTGAGATCCAGGCACACTTTCAGGACTATTTCTGGTTCTTTCCAATGACTGGTTAATGTACATTAATAAATAGTTGAGGGGAGCAGGGATTGGTTCCCTCTGGGGATTTAGGAAAAGTGCAGGGGCTACTGCTTCTTCTGTCTGGACCACCACAGAAGTCAGACAACAGTGAGGCACCCAGCTGCTCAGACTGGGAGGCTTCTGCCCATGCTCAGAAGTCAACAGTTAGGTGTGTAAAGCCCTGTCCTGCTGATCACTGTGTTCTGCAGACATTCACTCAGTCTTCCTTCCCAAGTGCATGCACATATGCCAGCATACATATTCTTATCTTTTCCTTTTTTGGGTCTGTATACAGCTGAACATAAACAAGCACATACAGACATGTTTGCTATCAAGCTTTCTAGTCTTCGTGCCCCAGTAGATCTTAGAGGATCTTGGATTTTGTTGTGCAAGTGGAGAAATGAAACCATCTGCTGTTAATTTAGAAAAGGTAAATTAAGATCTTGAACTGCTGTGATCCAGAGTGAGAGAGGCCTGTGTGAACAGCTGCCACTGCACGTGATTGAAAGATGATTGCCAGAAGTCAAGGCCAAATGCCATCATCCCATCCAGCTAAGTGGCAACTGGTGTGTGTATGCCTGTCACAGCATGTTCTCAGCTCCTTCCTGGGACAGTTCTGCTGCAATGCCACCGGGCTGCCTTTGGTTCTGTCTCCACATGGGACTAGAACATGTCTTTCTGTGTTTCTGTCAGGGATAGGCAGGAACTTCATGCATGTGTGAGTTTAGCTGTGAGCGACAGGGACCTTGACCACATTTGGCCTAACCATGTTTCTGCCAGGTTCAAGTAATGTTAGCTACCAGTATTACACAAGTGCTCCCATGCTCCAGCCCAGAGCTCAGCCTGCATCTGTGGGAAGGCATTACCTAATGTTTGTGCTGAACAGCACCGGAAGGTGGGATTACAGTAATGGGATTGACACTGAAAGCCACTTCATCATCCTAGCATCAGCCTCTGCTGGTGAGGATGTCATGGTAACTTTAACCCTTCTGTGTCTGGGCCAGAAGCCAATAAGATAGGATCAAAGGAACTGCCAGCCCAACACAAGCCGCTGGCCTCCCTACTCAAACATCCCAGCTCCTGCCCAGATCTGACCAGTGGTAGCAGCTCCCCATCATGCAGGGGGCTTTGTGCTCCCAGTGCCAACACATAGACAGAGATGAGGAAGTGCAGCAGCTTGACCTGAGGGATCAGAGCAGTGCTGTGTGGTTCATGCTTTCTGAGGAAAGGAAATACACATGCTGGCCTGCCTGTCTTCAGGGAGCTGCTCTCTAACTAACATCTCACCTGGCACTTCAGTGTTTTTCTCACCTGCCCTTAAAATATGACCTGTGACAACAGCACACCTACCACTCCTCCACACCAGGAATATTCTGCTCAGGTGGTAGGCAGAGAAACCCACGACACTGAGAGCTCAGGGAACATCATATTCCCTTCCCACAGCCCTTGAATTTGCACCAGGCAGGAACAGATCAGGAAGGTCTGAGCATGCAGGTTTGGGGCCTGAGCAGGCTAGGAACTGTCCCCCTAGAGATTGTGAAAGTACCTGCTTACCCTACCTCAGGTTGATGTTATGCAGGCTCCAAAACCAGCCTCAGTCCCCAACTCCCTCCTTCCTCCTGGGTGAACAGATTTCCCCCTGATTCCTTTCTCTGAAGTCCACACTTTGGAAGGAACCAGGCTGCAGGAATACTCAAATTTGTCACACACTTTTCTCATGTCTTTGTGTTTGTTTCCTTCTCAGAGTCTTTAAGAAAACCAGCCCCAATGCAAAGGTAAGTCCAGGCTGGGTGTAGGAATTCCTAGTGGGCTGTGGAAGTCTATATCCCAAGATACTCCATGTGTTGGGCCAAACGGTATCTAATTTATTTGGGTGCTGCTAAAAAAGGTTGGTAGGCACATACATGTCAAAGGCTCCACGTGGGTGAATGTACTCATATTGCACCCCACGTGTTGGCACTGGATTTAGCACCCTGTGTTGGCACCAGATACCTTGTTCTGGGAGGACCCAAATCCTCAGATTGACCATGACTTCTCCATTTGATAATAGGCAAATTTTATCGATACAGAGTGATAGCAAATAAGAATAATGCAGGCAAGGCAAACAGAATAACCCCCTATTCCCTGATTCTAGATCTACCAGTACTAGAGCTATCACAGACAGAAGGTGTCTGGCCAGTATGCAAGCTTCACCCTGAGGTTCTCTCTTGAATGTCAGATGTCAGCAGCCTGGAGGTTGAATGCCGAGGCCCGCCCACTCAGTGGAGTGGGTGAGATGGGCTGCTGCTGTGCCATCTGTCCATGGCAGCCTTGGGTTCCCCTCTCGGGGACCCTTTGGTGTTCTGAAATCACTCCTTTTGTATTCTTTCTCTTCTCTCATGACTCTTCATTTCTGGGCATTGTTGATTGGTCTCCCTGTGGTCATCATATTGTCCACATTCTGTCCTGTCAGCATATTCTTTTGTTTCCCACAAATCCACCACATGCACGCATCTTAATTTGGTTATTTGCCAGGCATCCTAATTTGGTCTGTTTACCAAAACCAGTAATCCCACAGGGCTCTGCAGTTGGGCACTCTGACATGGCACCAATGCTGCAGAGTCCCGTATCTCTGTTTGGGTATGCTATTTATGATATGAAACAGTGTGGTACATGTCTTCAATTTCCCAGCCTGTGTGTCTGTTGGCTTCAGACACGGTGGGCTTTGAAAGAAACTGTGTCACAAACAGACTTTTACAAAGCAATTAACTCTTGTTGTTCCCCTAGATAATTGCTCTAATGCATATCTACTTTACCTACAAACCAGTTACCAAAATCAAACCTCTAAATATCATTTTCGAGCCATCATCATGCACCCATACTGGGTGCACTGAGATTTTCTTTCCCTTTGAACTCCCTCTCATTCTCCTCCTAATGCCCCTGCCACCATGTTACTGCAATGCTTCCCTTTCCAGGAAAGAACTTTTCTTCAGCTATAGTGAGACCCCCTTTTAAATGATGAAAGCTCTTCTGCTAAATTGGATAATCAATCAGAGCTCCAAGCAGTAATCCCAGCCAAGGCTACATGCTTGAGAACTGCCAGGGACTGAGTAGAAAACAATAACCTGTTTATTTTCTGTCCTTGCTTCTGTTCTTCCACTTCACACTGCTTCCAGCTCTCCATCTACCTGGGGAAGAGAGATTTTGTGGATCATGTTGATTATGTAGAACCCGTAGGTGAGTAACTTTATCTTCACCTTGTAAGCCAGAATCCTTTACATATGCCATTGCATCTCATTGCTGTGTAGTTGGCTGTTCAACCACAGACCGTTTTTAGGGGCCAGAACCACAGTATGTAGTTTATTCCTATCAGAATAACCAATAGGAAGAAGTTAAACCTGTGAGAGGCAATTATCTCCACTTCCTGCAAATGTCTGTAATAAAAGGCAAAGGCCTAGAGGCAGAAAAATCTAGACTCCCAGAGCAAACATGTCACTATGTTTTTGAGAGCATTTTAGGAAGTGTCATAAGCTCTTTAACATGCAGTTCCAATATGACAGAGCTTTTGTTTTTAGAGATGGAGAAAGGAGATCATTTTGGTGACTAAATTTTATAGGTAAATTGTATTTTTAGAAGGATGCTTCCAGCACTTGCAACCTCCCTGGCAAGTTCCCTCCTCCTGTAAAAGCTGACCTTGCCTGTGCTTTGTGTGCTTCCTTGTAGATGGTGTCATCTTGATTGATCCAGAATATCTGAAGGATAGAAAAGGTACATTTCTGTACTAACAAGACACAGGCATTGAGGCTGTAATGAGAAGATCTTAAAAGTGATGCAATGGGCTATTTTTTAGCACATGTGATTGTCAAATGCCTGCTGGCAGTCCAGTGAGTCTCCTAGTTCAAAGCTGCTAATGAAAAGAAGCCCCCTCTCTCTTGTTTTCTCCTCTCCTCCCTTCTTCTGTCTGAGGAACTGATTCTGAAGGTATAAGAGCCTAGAAGAAACAAGTTAATGGATCTTCCTAGCTCTAGACTGAGCTTTAGAAACGTAGCCCTAGAAAACTGGGTCAAGTTTCTGCTTGTGTGATTTGAATCAGATTGGGTCGGGTTTCTGCTCGTATGACTTTGTTTTTAATTCTGAAGAGTTGTTAAATATGGTGTCTTCTGCCTCCTCAGCCCATCTAATCCACCTGCCCTTCTGTTGTCTCCATTCCTTCTTTTTGCTTCACTCTTTTGTTTTCCCTAACCCTTTTCTCTTCTAATTTCCATCTCTCCTGCACTGGCTCCAGTGTTTGTGACCCTGACATGTGCATTCCGCTATGGCCGAGATGATCTGGATGTTATTGGTTTGAGCTTCAGGAAGGATATCTGTGCCATGGCCACTCAGATTTATCCTTCTGTGCCAAAACAGGCACCAGCAACCCTCAGTCCATTGCAGGAAAAGCTGATGAAGAAGTTGGGCGAGAATGCTTACCCTTTCACTTTTGAGGTAGGAACTACTTGGACTGCAGGGCTCTTCCAGTAAGAGTGAAGCGCCATTTCTTGCTCTACACAAATGCTCTGGGGCTGTGAAGCAGTAGCTATTTGTGTGCCCAATAAAATGAGACAGGATCTGTGGCAACTAAGTCAAGAGCATAACTCCTGCTGATATCCTCTGCTCTATCAAGATGAACTTGAGTCGTCAGTGTGATAAATCATCCAGTGTGATAAAGCTAACTGCGCGTTATCATGCACCAGCAGATACATGACAAAAAGAACCAAGGGGGTGATACTTCCCCTCTATGTGGCATTTGGAGACTGCAGTCAGAGTGCAGTTGGATGGTCAGACTGCAGTTGGAGTACTTCGTCCAGTTTTGGGCACTGTACTTTAAGACGGATGTGGATAACCTTGAGAGGGTCCAGAGGAGGGCCACTCGTATGGTTAAGGGTTTACAGGTCCAGCCCTATGAGGAGAGACTAAGGGACCTGGACCTCTTCAGCCTTAGAAAGGCTGCAAGGTGATCTTGTGGCCACCTACAAATTCATTAGGGGGCTGCAGCAAGAAATCAGAGATGCTCTGTTCACCAGGGCGCCTCTTGGGGTAACGGAGCAATGGTCCCAAACTGACAGAGAGCAGATTTAGGCTGGATACCAGGAAAAACTTCTTCGTGGTAAGGGTGGCCAAAATTTGGAATGGGCTTCCAAGGGAGGCGGTGCTATCCCCTACCTTGGGGGTCTTTACGAGGAGGTTGGATAGGCATCTGGTTGGGGTCATTCGACCCCAGCACTCTTTCCTGCCCAGGCAGGGGGTTGGACTCGATGATCTGTTGAGGTCCCTTCTGACCTTAGCATCTATGAATCAATGCAGGGCTCCCTATGCTGGTGGGAAAATGGAGTCAGGATTTTCCTTGGGGAAGTGGAGAAGGAACTTGGTCAGAACCAGCTGGGGGTGCAGTTTGGTGTTTTTGATAAAGATTTCCTTTCTCTAGATTCCAACCAACTTGCCCTGCTCAGTCACTCTCCAGCCAGGGCCAGATGATGTTGGAAAGGTGAGTTACTGTCTCAGACTCCTTTCATACTCCCTGTTGTTCAGAAGGACATAGAGATGGTCAGATGGATTTAGAACAGCTGCCCCCAGCTGGAGGCTCCAACAATTCCCTGCTGGAGTTAAGAGAGCAACACAGGCAGCTAGCAGAGCAAGCTTGTTCCCAAGGGCAGATACCCACTACTAGGATGGGGAGGAGATGTGAATAAGTATAACCATGAGTGCTTTTCATCCCAGAGGGAAGTTGAGGGAAACTCCCCCCTCAGGCCCTGGCCCAACAACCTCTGTACTGCACATATTTCCTTTAGGCCTGCGGAGTGGACTTTGAAGTCAAAGGATTTTGTGCTGAAAATCTGGAGGAGAAAATTCACAAGAGGTATTTCCAGAGGATTCTCTCCTTTTCTTGTGCTTCTGAGGCAAAAGGACCAAGTCTCTTCCAAGGTCACATCCCTGCAAAGGGCTCACCTTGGATTTGCACTTCTAACTGAGGTCTGCCTCAGTCCTGGTTTGTGCTTTTTGATTTAAGCCCCTGTTTTTATTTCTGATGCCTCTTAAGAACAGACTGTTGTTTGTACCTGACACCAGAGGTCAGAAAGAAGGGAAGACTCTGCCTGCTTTCCTTCATTCTTATAGATCAAGCTGGAGCAGGAGGGCTGTTATGGGTGGACTCCCTTGGGGAGACCCAATCCTCTCCTGTCTCTGTGCTATGCCTCAGGGCCTGGTCACTTCTCATCCCTGCAGGAATTCAGTGAGGCTGGTGATCCGAAAAGTCCAGTTTGCTCCACTGAACTTGGGTCCAGCCCCAAAGGCAGAGACTACTAAGCAGTTCATAATGTCTGACAAGCCACTGTACCTTGAGGCCTCGCTGGATAAAGAGGTTGGTACACCTGCACGGAGTCTGCCCCTGCAGCCTGCTGCACATCATAGAGAGATACTCCTGAACTCTTAGTACTGGGTGCTTTTCCTTTCCTTCAGAGCCTGGCATATGCTGCCCTCTCCCTTGGCTGCTGTAGACTGTTTACAGCAAAAATACTGAGCTAGGAAACAGAGCCTCTGAGACTGAGTCTCCCTAGCTGCCAAGTCTCCTGAACTATGAGACTCTTTGTGTCTCATATTCTGGAGGCCAGAGCTCCACATCTGGGCCTTAGCAACATTCTGATCCCAGGGACTGATTTGGGGTTAGCAAGATTTCCCCTGGGACTCAAGAGTCTTTAGTGCTCTCTGAAGAGCCTCACAGCATTTGTCACTGGTCTGCAAACAAATCGGGAGCTTCACCCCAGCCTGGACCTTGGAAAAGCTGTTTCACCCTTGTGTAACTCTTAAGGGGGGTTAGTGAGAATACAGAGGATTTATCTTCTGTATCTAAATTTCTGCTGCCAGGAAACAGCCCCTTTTTAACAAACCTGAGGGTCAGGAGGGGTTTGGAACTCTGGCTGAGCATGATTTCTTCCTTCTCCGTGGATGGAAAGGGAAAGGTCTTGTTACATGTTGCATATGCATTTCCTGTGGGTCCCAGCATCCTCATGTTTCATGCCACAAACCTCTCCAGGTCTATTTTAGTCCTTACTTCGGTGCCTGTCAATCACTACAACGTGAGCACCTGGTTGGGTGCATAACACTTGGCTATTTCAAGTTCAGCAGCTCACAACATAACCAACCCCATTGTGATTGCAGATCTATTACCATGGTGACCCAATCAGTGTCAATGTTAACATCAACAACGCCACATCCAAGATTGTGAAAAAAATTAAAATAACAGGTACAATGCACCCCCCAGGCCTCAGCTGAATGTTTTCCCTGCTGCAGTCCTGCCTGCTCCCACATCCCACATTCATCCTCCTCCACCCTGCCCTTCATCCTCCACCTTGCACATGCCCTACACATGAACCTTTAAAACTCCTCAGGGTTCTGATTGTATAAATAAATGCACCTGTGGGCTCTAAATCTCACTTCTTCCATGCCCCATCAATATGTGAGCCATGCTGTCTGGACAGCAAGCCCGAAGGCCTCACCTCTTCTCCTCTTCTTTTTTTACTGACCTAAGTGAAACCAGGAACCTGGATTTCCTTACTTGGACCATTTTCTTGCCATTGTAGTTTCTTTGACTGCAGTGGTGTTATTCCTGATGGACACCAGTGTATATAAGAGAGAACCACACTCAACTTGAGGGCTACATTAGAGTTGATAGTTTCATTAGCCATGATTTGTCCTGTAGTTCTTATGTTTTTCTTTGAGTTCAGGCTGATGGGGGTGGATGAGATATAGGGGACAAGTGGCTTGCACTCCATGTGTCATGCTCCATGTGGACTAACTAGGAAAATCTCTGGGAACTTCCCCTTGCTTTCAAAAGCCCTGGAAAAAAGGAAGGTGTGTGTGCATGCCCACACACAGTAGCTGATGTCATTACTGTGATAACATTGTTTTCTCTTTCTCTCTCATCAGTGGAGCAGATCACAGATGTGGTTCTTTTTTCATTGGACAAATATACCAAGATTGTATGTAATGAAGAGATAAAGTAAGTAAGAGGCAGTAGCAGGTGCTATCCCTTGAACTTGGCTGGCTAGCAGAGAAGAGATGACGTTGCTTCGGTTACAGCTTAAGATCCTCTAGGTCTAGGGAGGACCTGAGGGGAACTGGGAAGTGGCTCAGGCCTCAGACAAACCTGGGGTCTCCTCCTAGCTCTACCTGCTGGGGGTGACTTTAGGCAAGTCCTTTTCTCCTTGAAGGAAGAGGAATGTGATAAGAGTGACAGGGAATGAGAGGGGGTAGGAAGGGACATCCTGATGGGTGAAAATAGAAGTATCATATATAGTAAATACTGAAAAACCAAGTAAGAGTTTTGGAAAAGATATCAGCCCCCCACACCCAGCATTAGCCAGCATCTAACTGGGGTTTAGGTGGAAATGGCCAGAGGGCAGATTATCACACAACTGCCCCCCTGCAGGGATTCTTATGCCTTCCTCTTGGGTGTATGATGCTGGCCACTGTTAGAGATGGGTCCAGGCCAGTCTGGTCTAGCCATTCTTATGTTCCTTTGTAAAAGAAGAGGTATCGATTGAGGGGAAAAGGGTGAAAGGATGGTAAAAGGAAGGGCACTGGGAACAAGGAAAGGAGGGACGTAGGGAGGGGGGATGTAAGCTGCAAGGGGGGAAAGTGGGTCACTCAGGGGCTGTAGCCTGATCCAGCCCAAGCACAGTTGCTCCGGGGCTACAATCACTGGCTGTTCTGTGGCACAGCAGCAGGCTACTCAGGATCCCAGGTTTCCAACATTTCAGCTGTTCTAAGCTTTCTTCTCTGCACACTTGCAGTGAAACGGTGGCTGCCAATTCCACCGTCTCCAAAAGCTACACAGTGACCCCCACCCTAGCGGCCAACCGTCAGCAGCGTGGCCTGGCACTCGATGGCAAACTGAAGCATGGGGACACCAACCTGGCCTCCAGCACCATGTAAGAGATGGACCTCCTCCCTGCCACCACTGCTTATTCTTTGCTCTCTTTGCCTGTCTTATCAGTGTCTAGAGGCCAGAGAGAAACTTCTCCAGTGCAGCCCCCACTGCTGCTCTTCCCACACAGGGTCCCACCACATGGCAATGCTCCTCAGTCAGTCCTGGTCTGAGTTGCTCTTTGTGTTTCTGTTTCTAAGATGCTCCTGAGCTGAGATTTAGTCATGCTGGATAATCAGGAGATTCTGTGATGGGTACAGATACCCACTGATTCATGATGAGGTATAAACCCATGATCCTGACCATGCCCTTTAAAAGAGCCTGCAGCACTCTACATGAAAGCAAGTGCATAAACTCTAGTGCTGAGATTAAATTCCAGCTGAGGCAGTTATGTTCACCCCCTAGAAACTCTTCCACAGCCTCTGTTAGGTGTGCTGTTCTTCTCTCCCCAGCCTGTTCTGCAGTATCACTGTGTGCTGTTACACACTCACTTCATTGTGTACTGCTACACACACAGTTGACTGTCTGCAAGATGGGGCACTATGAACATGATGGATCTAAAGCAAGTGTGGCAGCGTAGGGATGACTGACACCTGTCTCAGAAAGCTGTGAACTAGGCCCACTTTACTGATCTGGCATATCATATACCAGAGAGTGCTTTTTTGACAGTCCTTCTCTGCTGTTTCTTGTAGCCTAAGACCTGGCATGGAGAAAGAGGTCCTGGGGATCCTGGTCTCCTACAATGTGAAGGTCACCTTGGTGGTATCCAGAGGAGGGTGAGCCTCATTCTGATACTTAGACTGGGAGCTTCTTGGGGCAGGGACTGTTCTTTGGTTCTGTGTTGGCACACAGCTCACTGGGGTCCTGGTCCACGTCTGAGACTTCTGATTGCTACCACAACACCACTGCCACCAGTAACAGCAACACACAGGTGATGAAGTAACAATATCCAAGGAAATAGCTCAGTACCTGGGCTTCTTAGTTTATCATTGGACCACCTTATACCCTACCAAACCTTGGGGTAACCAGGTGTTGCCCCATCTTCATGGTATCCATTCTATATGTGAAATCTAATCTGAATATGAGCCTTGGATTCTCTACACTTTCACTCACAGGTCATGTCCCCGTTTATGCCCCTGAACCTCACATTTATTATACAGCATCCTCTAATGCCTGTCATCCTTTCTTAGAACAGGAGGATAGCAAGAGGCCTCTTGAGGTGGATACCTGGTCCTTATAGAAATGCCATCTATTGCTCTGTCCCACTCTTTCAGACAGCCCTAATCATGATCCGCTGAAACTGTGCCAACTGGGAAAAGGAATACTGTCTGGCTGCTCAGCTGAGTCTCCAGTGACCTTTCCACACCTGGTTGTTGTCCCAGAAGTGGAGACTCTTGATACATTATATGACATCCACTATTGGCACACCTAGCTACCACAACAGCAACTAGAAATCACACAGCCAAGATAATGGCGATAAAACGAAAAGCCTCCTTCTGCTTAAGATGCTATTTTCTACTCCTTCATGATACTTGTATTTATTTTTCTTTGGATGAATTCTGTGTTCTTTCTTTCATTTCCACAGCATCCTGGGAGATCTCACTTCAAGGTAAAAAATGAGTCCATTGACTGTTATCTAATGGAGTCCCTCCTCACGAATCCTGGCATTGGGATGGTGACAGGGGCCCAGTTACAGTGATGAATATTGAGCAACTTCCAGCCACACACACACCTTCACACTTTACATGTGGATATGATTGTCAAAGCCCCACATAATCTTTATAGTGCTGTCCTGCATCCCTTGCATGGTGTATCCTCTTCTATAAGAGCTTTTGTTCCTTGCCTGGCTGTTAATGTGGTTATTTAGTAAACAACTTGTACTAAGAGAACGTTATTGGAAGGTGAGGAGACATTTGATTATGCAGAAGTTCCTTGTCTAGCCCAAATCATGATTCAGAGGTCTGACCTCTCTGCAATTCACTCTTTGAGCTGAATTTTGAACCCCCACATTGAAAACTGAGGGATTCTTCACACTGAACATGCAGCTGCTCCCTACCCTGTTCAGGCCTCACAGAAGTTAAACTTAAATTATGCTTATTATATTTTTAATGATCTTTTTATTGCAAAGTACTGAGGGATGTTTCTGTGCAAGGGATCTATAAGCAAGAAAAAAACAGAGACAGCTGTATTTCTATTCACACTCATGGCAGTCTTTTAAAGTCCAGGGAGTTAACACACTCTTCCCTCTTGACTATCCCTGTGTAATTCTTCCCTTCAAGTGCTATGTTTTTTCTTTCAGTGATGTTGGTGTTGAGTTGCCACTTATTCTCATGCACCCAAAGCCAGCTGATGGTGAGTGATTAAGTTACAATACCATTTCCATGAAAGAAATAGCAGGAAGGAGTAAGATGCATGTTCACAGGGGGGCATCAAAAGACTTACAACATTTTTTTCCCTTTTGATCTGTTGAAGCAGCTCATGAAAACAAACTCAAATAGAAACAAAACCTAAAGCCTTCTCCAAGGGAAGCAGTTTGGTTAACCCTTCTCCTGTCTCCCTGCTTCTTGTGTGGTTAACATGGAAGGTCCAACAATCCTTGAGAGGCTTCTATTATTCCCACCCTAATACTAAACTGAGCTTCTACACTTTCTGAAACTGGCCATCACTGGGTTCTCATGATGCCTCTACAGTGTGCTATTGATACCATAAGCAATGTGAAAATGCACTGCCTGTGCTTTACAGAGTCCACTGCGACCCATGGCTTTAGAAATAAGATCTACTCCCACTTACTTTTCAGCCCTGTTCTGCCTATGTAAGGCCATGTAGCAAGTGCAAACTATAACATGCTTCAGGGAATGTTTGCAGTGGGGTTGTCACAGCTCTAGATTTTGACAGGACCATCTTGTTTCCTTCAAACGTGGTTTGCAGAAGATGCATCATCATCATCAAAACTGAATGTTGCATTTTAACATCAATGCCATAGGTTTGTGTTGAAGGAACTAGTTGTAGGGGTGGTAATCTTGTGGCCAGCCAAGAGCTGAGGCCAGTGATTTGTGGGATTATTAGTCCCATTTTGCAATTGCAGATTTGAGCCACTAACCCCAAGACAAAGAATGGGTGGACTGTGAACTGAACTTGATGCTTATTTAGCATAATTGAAAGGAAACAGTTATACTAAATGTGAAACTCAACCAGGTTTGTAAAAGCAATGGGATTAGCCAAGCATCCGCTGAATCTAAATTTCTCTCATAAGCCTTACTCACTGAGAGGGAAAAGTATTGATTTTGGTTTGAGAGAGAAGGTATAAAATGTTCAAAATATTGCACTCTGTGAAATGTCTGATCTTCCACTGTAATCAGGCAACTAAAATAGAGCAGCCATTTTCAGTTCTTTGCCTCAGAATGTGTCCTTCCTGCAGAAACATATCAACACCAAGAATATGTGCTTTTTGAAAAGTCTGTCTCAAACTAATTAGCGTCCATTTTTGTTTGCTGCTTTGTGGTGCATTTACAACTGGACCATAGACATGCCAAGGTAAGACAAAGTCTTTTTGGAGTTTATACTACCATTTTCTATAAACATTGTTAAGTAAACTCAAACACAGCTGTGATGAAATAATATGCTCCAAGTCCAATGTGTGGTTATGGAGCCATCCCATGACTATCTGAGATGAAAAGATATAGGCCTTGTAGACTTGTATTCTTGCATCAGAACAGAAACTGTGTGACGTTATAGCCAAAATGAGAAACCAGAGAGGGCCGGGAGAAATCACTGCTGAGCAAGGGCGTACATTTTGCAGTTTCACTTTATTTTGTGGGTTTCTGATTTTCCTTCCCTTTGTGGAAATCAAAAGTCTCTGTTGTTCAAGACCCAAATCTTTACGCTACTTCATTGTTTTCTGGAATGAGTTCCTTTCAATGACTCAGTTCATTGGTTTATGCGCTGCATGGAGCTCTGGTAAATTTGACCTGTGCTAGTCCAGATTTCCATCTCTGGCTCCTATCAGCACAACTCGGAACACAGACAATAGCTGTCCCATTGCTGTTGTTTTCTCGGTAATTCCAGCAGACTGCAGGTCATTGAAGTTCAGTGGCTGCTGGAAGCTGCACTCAAAAGACACTGGCCTATAAGCAAATTGCAACCTAAAAAAAAAAAAAGTAGAATTGTATGCAGAGAGACCAGATGGATTCTTTACAGCAGTAAATCCTGTAGCTATAGTAACTGGCATAGGAAGTAATTAAAACACTCAAGGACTATCCCAACAGTACGTAAACCCAGGAGGAGGATTCCACCAAATCCCACCACATGCCAACGGGCTGAGTTAGCCTTACAAGATGAAGGCTTGCATTCCCCTGGTAATTCTGTTTAGCTCCAGGATAATCTGTCCAAATCATTTCTACTGTAGAAGCCCACTTCTACAGCTGGCAGATATCTGTGTCAATCAAAGTTTAACTCCGTTACAAAAACACCCTCCGAGATATCCCACCATTCTGAGTCCATCTGTAGCACTGCAATATGCAAGCCACAGATTCCATCCACCCAGGAATTTGATCCTTCATTGCAGGACCATGAAAGTCCCATGTTTTTGTCTTGTTGCATCCTGGAAGCTGCTACGGGGGGGGAGAGATGCTGCTGCTCAGGAGATGTGCATAGACATGCATGAAAATCAGAATATTTTGAGGACAGGTAGAGCTGGGGAGCTCTGTTAAGCATTTTCACACCAAAGAACATCTGACTTTGAGGACCTGATTAGGTTATTTCCTCCTGTCAGCCAAAAGGACCTTGCTGATCTGTCCGTCTTTTATTCCATGCAGAATTTGCTAAGTTATTTTGAGTTATTGAAATTCTGAAACCTGTCTTGCTGATCTTCTTTTCTTCTTTATTTCCCTATCTGTTTTGTGGCTCTTTCTGCACTTCTCTCTTATCAGGAGGTACCTAATACTTTCTCTGTCCACTTTGTGGGTCTTGATATAATCCTGTGATTTAAGAAATCTCTTTAGAAGCAGGGGGTTTATGTATGCCTCACTGAGGGTCCTGGGTTTAACAGCATTGCCATTTCTGGTAGAAGGCCTATTGAACAACTACTTATTGTTCACCAGCACATCTGGTGTATTGCAGTCAGTGAATTCTTTACAGCAGGAAGTCCTGTAGCTGAAGTAATCAGTGCAGGAAATAATGAAAAACACCAAAAACTGTTCTACCAGGACACATGGCACCAACTTCACCTGCAAGTGTTCAGAGTTCCCTTGGGTTGAACCTGAGCGTGTAGAGGCAACAAAGCATTCCTGAGCTGGGAAGGTGCACAGAGGAGTCCTCTGAGACCGGGTATTAACAGGGTGGGCATTAGCTGGGTGTTGAGTCCATGGTAGGACTCTGGAACCTGGTCCTTTTGGTCTGAGAAGGGACTTTGCCCTTTTCACTGCCCTCCTTAGGACTTTCATACTGTGCTGCCAAGGCAGATGGCATTTCACCAAAGGCCCAGTTCTGAAACCTCACCATACTCTGTTCTGCTTTGCAGTGAGGAGGACATTGTGATAGAGGAATTTGCTCGTCAGAATCTCCAGGGGGAGAAGGATGATGACGATGACAAGGAGGAACCTGACAAAGAAGGAAGTTAACTTGCTCCCTGGCCAAAATAGAGTAGTGACCAGTCACCAATCTAGTACACCAGCATGTGGGACATAGATCTGGTAGTGCAGTCCCCAGTGTGCTGTGAAAGTACTCAAACCAGTGTTATATTTGTGATGTAATTAATTCTTGTATCTTCTTTCCTTCTCACCACCCCTACCCCCATCCCCTGCCAACTGATCCTTGTACTAGTCCTGATTCCAATGGCATAAGCAGACCATACATTTACTAGTGATAAACAGTAACACTCTTTGTATGAAATTATCATGTCTTGACAGAACAGGAGTCTCAGCTATTTCCACTCACTAGCTGACAGACCTTTGTAACTCAGGCAGTACTCCAAGGAGGTACCCCCTCTCCAATTGAAGGGATCAAAGCAAGTGCACAAGTGCTGTGGGAGGTGTAGGGACTCTCCTTCCCCTATAGAGCAGGGCCAGACCACTAATGGGGACTTAACCATATACCCTTTTAATACTGGGAACATAACAGGCATAAATCAGAGGGTATAGTGGACACTATAGTACCCCAAGGGGATAGGATTCAACAAAGGTTAGACACTTACAATCACTGACAAAAAACAGGGTTAACAAAATATAACACAAACAGCAGAACAAACAATATTAGCAGATGAAATATAAAAAAGGCACAAAAAACAAAATGTCAAATGACAAGGAAATATAGGGCCTAAGTACCTGGAGGAGGAGAAAGTGAGAAAACACAATGGCCCTTTTTCACTTAAAGAAGTTTTACTTCTTGTTAGCTTACCCCAAGTCACCTCGGCTAGGACTTAAACCCATAGCTCCCATGCGGTAGGCAGGAACACTGCCACACAGCCACCACTGCTGACACTAGTCCAGCCTGCTAGGGGTCTTGACCTTTCCGGAGCCCCGGCCTCACATAGAGCTGCCTGGCCTCTGATTGGAGGAGCTGGGAACCTCTCAGATCACTGCTCAGATCCTTGCTAGAACACAGGGGGGTG